GATGAGTGAGCTTGAATATAGTAGGAAAAAAGCTGAAGGGCAAAGGATGATCATCCACATTTTGTGTAATTGTAGGACACAAGAGAGAAGGATTAGCAAAGAAATCCTAGGACTATTGAAGTGAAACATAAAGACAAGAGCCAATGTTCACTCACATGAAGGTATAAAATCAAGTTGTTGACAAAGGGGGAGGAATGTAAGTAGAAGTAGGAAGGTTAGAGGTCTACATATCAAAAGAAAAAGAAAGAAAAAAGCTAGAAAACAAATATAAGTACACACACAAAAACCTAACCAACCAAAGATATGTACAAATAAAAAAAAAAAAAAGCAACACAAAATAGAACAGGGAAACAAAAAACATTAACCCAGATGGATGCAAAAAGGAAAACCAACCAGACAGAGAAAGGTAAAAGTAGTAAAATTCCTCTAATGTCTACAGTTTTGTGGTAGGTCCAAGTCAGACCTCAGATATGTGTATTCCAGCCAAATTTGCAGGTGGATTTATGCTGGGTATAGGTCAAATCTTGGTCTCTGGATTTGGAGGATGAGAGTAGCCTGCTGTGGTTGTAATTCTCTTCTTCCCTTTAGAAAAAAAATAGTGCTAGTCCCCCTTCCTTTCTATTTTATGTGTCTTTGTGCACAAGCAATACCTGGTTCATATGATCTTCCAACTATTGGATCACCTTGTTACTGCTGCTTTGGCATTTTCCAGGCCGCTAGTCCCACCTTTGTGTGTATCCCAACTAGACCCCTGATGTTGTCAGCAATCTTGTGGGCCTGCCAGGGTACTCTGGCTGCAGGGGAGTATGATGTCTTTAGATATTTGGGAAAGATACCTGAAGGGAGCTAGCTGTATCACATGGAATTTCTACTTTCAGCTCTTAGGAATTTCCATGCTATTTTCATAATGGTTTTACTACTTTATATCTACAAACCATGCAGTGGGGTTCCTTTTCATAAAGCCATGCCAGCATTCAAATTTTTAATTTGTAGAATATTGATATAAATTCTGATGTAATTTGAAAACTTAGGGCCGGCCAAATAGCTCAGCAGATTAAAGTGTCTGCAAGCAGGCGCAGGGGTAGAGGATTCGATCCCTGGGCCTGCCATGCCAGTCCAGCCCCCAGGGTGCACTGAGATGGCAACTGAGACTGGGTGTGGTAGCACACACCTGTAATTCCAGCTCTTGGAAGGCTGTAAACAGGTGGATCACTACGAGCCCAATCTAGTAGAGACACTGAACACCCTGTAGACTCTTCCCCGAAAATACAAAGAAAGAAAGAAAGAAGAAAGAAAGAAAGAAAGAAAGAAAGAAAGAAAGAAAGAAAGAAAGAAAGAAAGAAAGAAAGAAAGAAAACTTAGTGTTTTAATTTGCTTTTCTTTAATGGTCAAGTATGTTGAACATTTTTTTTCATATTAATTCACAATTTGCATTTATTCCTCTAAGAAATGTCTGGTGGTCCTTTATGTTAGGTAGCTTAAGTTTTTGGATTTATTTATGCATTTTAGATATTAGTCCTTTGTTGGAGAATAGTTCATAAATTTTTCCCACTCTATAAGTTGCCTCTTTAATTGATTTCCAGTGTAGAGCTTTTCAATTTGACGTAGTCTTATTTGTTCATTCTTGTGGTTATTTCCTGTGAAATACTTTCCTACACACATGACTTGAAGTGTTTCACCTATTTTATCTTTCAAAAAACTCAAGATTTTTATTTTTATATTTAAACCTTTCACCCATTTTTATTTTAATTTGATACATGGTGAAAGGTGTAGGTCTAGTTTCAATCTTCTGCAAACCAATGTGTAGTGTTCTACTATCATTTTTTTCAGTAAGACTATCTTTTCTCTAATGTATGCTTTTAGTCTCTTTGCCAAAGATTAAAGACTGACTGTACCTGGGAATGTTTCTCTATCCTCTATTCTACTCCATAGATGCATATTACTCTTTTGTCTCAGCACTATACAATTTTTATTTCTGATGCTTTGCAGAGTAGTTTGAGTTCAAGTAATATGAGGCCTCCTGATTTGCTCTTGTTACCCAAGAATTATTTTGCTATTCTGCATCTCCTCTGATTCCATGTAAATTCTATAATTGTTTTCTCTAAGTCTGTAAATATGCAGTTGGTATTTTGACCAGAAATACATGAACTCTGCATAACAGTTTTAGGTGTATTGGTATTTTACTGTATTGATTTTGCTTATCCAAGAACAGGGGAAATCTTTCTCTTTTCTGTGCCCACCCCCAATCTCCACTTCAAGAGTACTGTAGCTTTCTTTGTAAGGTCTTTCATTTCCATGTTTAAACTAATACACAGTTACTTAATTTTTCTCTATAATAAATAGTATGATTCTTGATTTCCTTCTTTTTTTGACATTTTATTTTACATCAGTTATTTTATTTTAAAGGAAAAAAATAAAAACAATGGTACAAAATCTCAAAACAAGATTTTAGGAGAGTAACAATGGTTAGTACATTGTGTACTGTTACTGCCAAAGTAGTTTCTCATATTATAAGATATAGGCAAGAAATAATAAACAATATAGGTACAAACCTCTGGTTTTTTTAAAGTCAACAGAAAATGGAAATATACTTTTTAAAGTTTCTAATACTAGAAGAAGATATCATACAATGTCTTTAAATAAATTGTAAGTCAAAGATACAGTATAAATCTTAGAACAGAAATTAAGATTAAGCAATATTCAGAAAATTAAATGTTTCAAAACAATTGAACTAAGAAAAAGTTTCATGATAGCAAAGAAGTACTAAGA